ATAATTTGGTAGATGGCGACTAGCATTGGAATCCAGGATGCGCATTTCGTCCTAGCTGGGACTCGTCATCTGGATGTACCTTCCATCCCCAGTGAATGATGGTGAGTTCCCACTGAAGCTTTGGCGTTTGAAACTATGGGTACTGGGTTTGAGCCTCAGTGAGAACTCGGCATCACTCACTATGGATGGTAGGTACATCCGTTTGATGAGTCCCAAACTAGGACGAAATGCGCATTCTGCATCCCACTGCTAGTCACCACTAACCATAATAACTTCAGATTGAAAAGAGATTCTCTGGTGATATCGATAGCATGGCATAGAAATGCTCATATCTTGTTATTCGCGCTGTGTAATATTTGTCTTCTTTTACTAGCTAGTTTAGCCTCTAGGATTATTACTCTGGTAGTATTGTGAATGTTTTAACAACCTTGTTTAAGTATTTTTTACAATTCAGGAATGAATTTTTCAAGAAAAGAACAAGATGCTCAGAAAAGATATCTTTTCGGTGATTTCTTTCTGAAAATCTCTGTACAATCGCATTTTTATACATAAGCTTGCATAGTTACAGTTATTACTATTTAATTCAACATAGTAATGAAGGGACATTGAAGGTGATATCAATTTTCAACTCGATGTGCTGATGAAGAGCTTCAAACTGCGACGAAACATCTATCCGGTACTCCTTATTGGTTTCCCAATGATTCCCCTACAACCGGTCAAATATCTACAAACAAGCACTTGGATATGGAAAGTTTTAAGGTGCGAATATAAGAACACAGGGGGCAGAGAAACACAATTACACAAGATCAGAATTCAGTTGCATAATTTGTAAAATAGCTTTTTCCAACGAAGACAAATGTGAATTAGACGCACATAGACACAGATTGAAATTTTTTTTATATAACTGAAAATAAAAAAAAATAAAGGGAATGAAAAAACAAAAAAAAACATAAACTAGGGAGCTAAAAAGATTTAGGTACATATTAAGTGTAGACGTGGGGCGTCTTCTCATTTGCACATATAGCTCCGGCTTTTCGATGCATATCACTAGGGCTTCTTCAGTACAGAGAAGTTGGAAACACATCACTTTTGGTAGATTTTTTTCACTTTATAAGTGACTCTGAACGTTGCGTCAGTTGTGATGCTGTGGCAGATGCTGGCGTGGTGTCCAAATTACAACGCTTCTGATTGAACCAGTATCGCCTCTTTGCAGTTATGCTGCGTAGTGTTCTCTAACACATTTCGCAAGACAACCTATGTTCCCAGCTTAACTGGAACAGGTGAATTGATTTATGCATATTAGAGTGGTCATATGCAGGAGTTTGCCCTTCCTATTGCTTAAAAGCACTAAGCGGTTAGAGAATATCACTTTCAGCCTTGTTGTAGGAGGGATCTTCTTTAGGGGACTAGAGATTCTCCTCTTTAAAATATCTGCCACTAAATTTCTCCTGAAGTCAAGGTCCATATACAGTATTTCTTTTGGCACTGCGCTGCATTCTTCTCTTTATGGTTTCGGTTTCATTTTCCTTTCCAAAAGCCGTGCCGAGTATTCACTTTCAGCCAAAATACTTTTGAGAAGTAAGAGCTCTAATCAGTCAGTGTTACAGATTCTTCTGCGACAGCAAGCAAGTGGTATAATGAGATCTCTTTTTTAATTTATAAGTATCCCTCTATAAAAGTTTGTTACTTGGCTATTCCAAAATGGTCACCTTCAAGATAGATCTCTCCAGAGTCCTATCATCTCTTCTTGCCCATTCTACATCTAGGAATGCAATCTCTGATTGGTTTTCTCACTCCATTGTGAATGTAATTGAACGATGACAATTATTAAATCACGTATAAAATGCTATTAGACAGTTTTTAAGAATGAAATCAACGAAAAGATGTCTTCGTCAAGCTTCTTATTCTTCTCTCTCTCTCTCTAAAGTTTTGATTGGTGTTTCCCATAATTTGAAAAATGAATTTTGTGACAACTTGATCAGTATTTTTACACGAGATTTCCTCAACTTAATCATTGATACTTCATCAGTACAGCGAAAAACACTCAATGGAATTATCAAAAATTGGATACGTTCAACTAGCGACCCCGGTAGATCCAAACAAACTATCATTCTAGGTAATCAGAAGGATATGTATATTAAGTCCGATCAGCAAACCTCAAATTGTAGACTGATATCAACAATTTTGACGAGAAATCCCTTAAGAGTAGTCGAAGAGTAGTGAAATTGCAATTTGTTTTATTGTAATAAATAGGCTAGTGTGTTGTATTCAGTTGGATTTTTATCAGGAAAGTAAAGTTCACTGACTGGCATTAAAATAATAATCTTAGGAAAGTTACAAAGTATTAGAATATTCAAAATATCGTTTAATTATTGGTATAAGAATAGAATTTGAGCATTATGGTTGAATGCTGCATAATTCCATGATAGAATAATTGTATATGATAAAAGCATGTGGTCCAGGGTTCGAGCCCCGGCCAACGCACTCCTTTACCTCGCTCGCTAAGCCAGTTATAAGACTGGTAAAGGAGGGAGGTTGGGCATGAGGCTAGAAATCCCATCCCGTGAAAATAAACACCACTGCTACCGAAACTTCAAGCCTCTAGCTTGAAGACCTATGTTCCATTGGGAACGTAAAGGAATAAAAAAAGAAGGATGTAGTGATACAGTACCATGTACTGAAAGCGACGTTTTGGTTACACTTTATCACTCATAATCATTATCAAGGTGTTCAGATAACTTTCAGGATTCATTTATATAGTTTCATGGTTTCTTATTCTTTGATTTTATTGGTAATAATATTCTCCATATCTTTGGTACTTGGTGATGCATCATTCCTATCGCAGCACGTGTTTAAATACACCTATTTGGGAGTTATCCAAACATTTAGCTTCAAAACTCGTTCAAACTCTGAACTAATCGATTTATGTGAAATAAAAAAGAAACTAAATGACATTCAAAATAGGGAATAGTGAAAAAAATGTGATTGCTTCTGATTTAACTAGTCTTTATACTGATATGCCAATCAATATAGCTGTAGAGGCAGTTAGCGGAAAATAGACTACTTATCTCAAACTCACTCACTCGACAAAACTATCCATTAAGGAAATTATTCTATGGATTCAAGAGTGCTTCATATTCACTGTCTTAGAATTGCAGAGAAAAATACATAGACAAACAGAAGGCAGCAATGAAATCACCAATCTCCCTAGTCTTAGTAGATCTATCTATGGTTAGTCCGGAAAATATGGCTTTTAAAACATTTAATCCCATCCCTAAAATATACGGTAAAGATATGTGAAAGGCATTTTCAGCGGTAAAACAGAACATTTCTCTAATTTCTTCGAACCTACATAAACTTGATTTTAGTGGGGATAGAATTTACACTTAACTTAGAAAATGGAGAATTAGCTATACCAGACTAAGAAAAGTCATTGCACTCTAGTAAATACTTGGATTTTACGTCATCACATCTGTTATAGCTGAAGGCAGAATTGGTCAAGTGCCTAACCAACTGAGCGAAAAATGTAGGTAGCGCATTAGAAAGCCTAAACAATGAAATGAAACAAATAGAAGCAACATTAGTGCCGAATAACCATTACATAAATATCATTAGGAAGTTTAAGAAAAGTCAAAGTAGTAATGAAACAATTGATCATAACATAAGAAGAGATTTAAGGAACGGACATCTGAAACACTAAATAGGGGGTTCTTATGAAAACAGGAATCAGGGTGGCATTCGAACCCGGAGACTCACTCACAGACATCGTCTGTAGGCTAAAGGTGCTTATTGACCCGAGTAGACAAAATAAAGTAATTCATAAAGTACCCTTCAATGACTGTGAGGGTACCTACATAGATCAGTTCAGTAGAGAGGAAACAATTAGGTTATCGAAACATAAGAATTTAGCTAAATGATTTTGAACAATTGATTGTTCTGGAGAGATCATCCAGTTATTCATACTGCATTACTGTGTGTTATATAAAATACACTTATCTGATATGGAATTATATTCTACCACAGTGCTCAAATTCTACACTAACATTGGTTTGATGATATTAGATAGTTGGAGGCGATTGGCAGGAAGCTTTAGACCTAGGTTTCGTGCTTGTTGACACTCACCAGTTAGCAAGGCGTATCTGCAACCTTGAAGGAACTCATGTCCCTTGTGAGATTCAAACCCGCGTCACCCAGTGCTGCAGTCAGAGACGTTACCACTGAACTATTCTGGCTTGCGATTGACCTCCTGTAGGACTGTATTGGATACTTTGATTTGACACTAGTTAGTAACTAGTGTAATGTGTCTAGTCCTTTGTTTGGTGCAGACTGAATTCTATCAGTTAGGTTTGCAATGTGGCCACCATTCTAAGTAGCTCGCCATCACGGTGTACATTGATTTGACAGTAACGTCTCTAACTGCAGCACTGAGTGATGCGGGTTTGAATCTCAGAAGGGACATGAGTTCCTTCAAAGTTGCAAATACGCCTTGCTAACGAGTGCACAACTAGCACGGAACCTAGGTCCAAGGCTTCCTACCGATTGCCTCCAACCATCTAATGTCATCAAATCAATGTGCACCGTGATGGCGAGCTACCTAGAATGGTGGCCACACTGCAAACCTGACTGACAGAATTCAGTCTCCGCCAAAGAAAGACACATCACACTAGTTACTAGTGTTCAATCAAAATAACATTGGTTAGAAGTAGAACCCTTAAAATGCGCGTCTCTATCTATCTATATCGACATGTCAATTGAGTGTATATTCATCTTGAGAGTGGTAGTGCTCGCAATTGGTTTGAAATTGATGGCTAATATAATTATATAAATGAGTGTATAGTGTACGAACATTGGATAGCACTCATAAGTGCACTTATGAGTGACCCTATCTATATCTTTGAGAATCTATAACATTCAGTGCTGAAGTCACAATTTTCGTGATTACCATTATTATATTCCTATCTAATCTCCCCCACCCACCCGCCTTAATCTCCTCTCTTCAGATTACTGATCCACTTCTCATTAAAGCTGTTGAAGATCAAATTCAAAGTTTCGGTCAAACACCTGGTCAACTGTTGACTACTCCACATCCACGACGGAATTCAACACTTCATCATAATCCAGAGATTTTCAATCTTCTCAATGAAGAATTCTGTATGAGTTTAAAATTCCATTCTCATTCACCAATTGTAAAGTTATTCAGTAATACATCAATGAAAGCAATTCCATTTCCTTCTATAATTGCTATAAGTGAAAATAGAACAATAGTAGTATGCAGATGGAATGCTTTAGCTGCTGGTAAGTTTTTATTCCTAGTGTTTATGCTTATTTGCTTGTTTATTTATTTATTATTCTCTTTAGTTTGGTTTGTAAGGATTAGTTATGTTTTACGAGTTGATCACGGACTGATATCAGTTAGAGAACCATTGAAAACCAGGGAGTACTGGACAGCTGCTGTTTCATCCTAGTTTGGGAATCATCGGCAGTACGCACCCACTGGGATTCGAACCCAGGACCTTCCGGTTACAAAGCAAGCTCGTATACCATTCAGCCACTGGGACCCGATTCAATGGCCAGCCCATGAATTCTAACTTCTACCAATTCGTGATTTTAGTGCGACCCCTTATTCGTTAACTTGACTATATATGTATATCAGAATGTTTCGTGTAAAAGTTGACTTTATCTCATTTTTCATATTTATTATTTATTAAAAAAAAACAAAACAAACTTGGTACACAATATGGGTGTGACGAAATCCACATTGAACTTGATCTAAATCCCTACACAAATGCCCACAATTTAAGTAGTATTGAACTTTAACTCTTTCATCACTGATTGGATATCCTAAAGCTGTACTGTGAAGTCGTCGCCAATTGAGGGGTCTACCATGTTATAGTGAAAGGAATGCTCATTGAAGGCCATTGGTTGACGGAGGTGATTGACGGCGGTATCACGAAATGACAAAGTTGAAATTCACGAGTTATTGAATTCCAGCTAAAATGGCTAAATTTCCCACTAGTTTTGTCTTATAACCTGAAGGTTCCGGATGGGTTCGATCCTTGGTGGGTGGTCATGAGTGTATGCTGATGAAGAGTCCTATACTTGGAGGACGAAACAGGCTGTCCATTAACCCCTGATTTTCAGCGGTCCTCTAACTGAACTGAACTGGTGATCAAATGTGAAATCTGAGTTTAAGAGGTGATCAGTGATGAGCGGCATTAAAATAATAATAATACAGTAATTAAATTAACTAACGGGCATTGTATAAAATGACTGCTTCGAGGCTTGTTTTATTCTGCGTACATGTTAATTCCAATCAAAGGCAAACTACACTCCCGTTTCATCATTTAATTCAACTGTATTCAATTTCATCTATTATACAATGTAATACAAATGTATTTTTTACGAGTTATTTATGAATATATTGTGTCTGTAACAACCAAATGTATTCGGTGATGGTTTGAACGCAACGGGAGGGATTTGAAAGAGGTTACTTCTTTCACTTATCTAGGGAGCATTGTCTCAACTACAGGAGGAACGGACGAGGATGTCAAATCGAGAATCAGGAAGGCGAGAAACACATTCATCAACCTGAAACCAATCTGGAAATCTTCGTCACTCACCATCAACAACAAAATTCGGATTTTCAATACAAACGTCAAGTCAGTTCTATACGGATCAGAAACTTGGCGGGTCACAAAGAATATTTCCAACAGCCTGTTGCAGACCTTTATCAACAACTGTCTTCGCTCTATACTGAAGATCAGATGGTCGGAAAGAACAAGAACCAACAAGAAACTATGGGAACAATCAAAACAAAAACCAATCGCCCAACAAATATTCAGGAGAAAGTGGAGATTGATTGGACAATCGCTGATGAGACCACTGGGTGACATTGCGCGTCAGGCCAGTGCTCGAGTGGAACCCGAAAGGGAAGCGGCGAGTGATTTGTCGGTGCAAGGGTGACATGGAGGAGATCGTGTGAAGAAGAGTTGAAACAGTATGGACTAACATGGATGCAAGTGAAAAGTACAGCAGAAGACAGAAGCAAGTGGAGGCGTGCAGTTGAAGCCCTATGTTCCACTAGGAATTCAAGGGAACAATAATAATAATACATTCTACTACATAGCTGACAAAATTTCGTTAAGACCACGCGCTATGAGAAGACGTTCCGAAAGCAGGGAAAATACAATTATTCTTCAATATATTAGCGATTCTATTAAACAATAGCAACGTCAAAACTCAAATCTACCTCAACTGTGCTGCCATGAGGTGGTAGCTACACAGGCAATGGAGGTTTTGAAACACAAAACAAGTACTGTAGGACAAAATTAGTTAACCAAAGTTCAACTTAACCAAACGGTACTTTAGAATCGAGGAGGAGAATATTCTCAACGAGGTGGGATCAAAACCTCTGTCCACTTGAGTCACGTACACCAAAGCTTCCCGCCGCAGACAGTCCCGGGGCTGGGATGACCTGTATTCACTGAGACAAACTCACATTGTCAATGTAGACACAACCATAAAGAGGAGTATAACAATTGAAGATGAACACAAGGACAAAGGCGAATAACAATAATAAAGGCTAAAATCAACATTTGATCTTCACATGTCAAATTATTGATACACAGTCTAGGGGAAAAGGTATAATAATTACCAGCATAGTTAAAATGTCTACATAAGTATAAATATATCGTCCAGGAGGGATTTTCCTAATAATTTGTCCATTACAATGGCTGTGTAAAGTTTTGACTAAATTACCTATAAATTAAGTAGTAGGTTTCGAAGAATTAGTCTGTAAAGATTCTATTTATTTCAAGTTACACCATGGATTGATATCAGTTAGAGAACCTCTGAAAGAAGGGAGTACTGGACAATTGTTTCGTCCAGGTTTTGGACTCATCATCAGTACCTACTCACCACCAAGGTTCGAACTCAGGATCTTCCGGTTACAAGGCAAGCTTGTATACCATCCAACCACTTGGACCTTAGTCAAATTTCCATTCATCGGCAAGAACTCCATCCTCACTCCCGACTGGATGGACCTTGTTGGTCATGACTTCTCACTAGAACTTTAGGCAACTTCGTGCCGTAGCCAGTCACCAGAGAGGATCAGACGAATTTTGAAGAATTAATTTGTAGGGATTCCATTTGGGCTCGAAAACCAATGGGTGCGTGCTCCCGATAAGTCCCAAACTAGGATGAAACAGCCCTTCAGTGCTCCCTGCTGGTTTTCAACGATTCTCTAACTGATGTCAATACATGTTCTAACCTGAAACACGTAAGCATTAAGTGCTATTGCATAGAAGGTATGATTAACAATATAATACATTCATTCTATTTCTTTCCTTCATGTTACAGATGCAGTCTATCGAAAAGGTGAGTTGATATGCTTCCTTTTGTTTGTTTGTTTGTTTTTCATGAATTTTACTGTAATTTCTTGTCAGAATGCTGCTGCTCATTTTGTGGATTGGTTGTAGGCATGTTATAAACGGTTTCGCATTAGTGCTTAGATAATCGTGTTGAATAAAAATAATAAGAGAGAGTCATTTTTTTCAAAGACTGTGATGTGCTTATATTTAGGCTTAAGCAGACAATATACTAGCGACGATTGTTTGTTTATTTGTTTTCTTGAAAATACAATGAAACTTTATTTCGGTAGATTTCAGTAAAGGCCTTATTATTATTGTTGTCGCCCTCAATGCAATCATTTTTGATATAATTACTCGGCATTGGCTTTAGAAGTAAAAAAATTAAAAGTTGTAAATTACGTGGTACTCAACGGCACAAAGATAGAAATTTGATAAGGTTAAAATTGCTATTGAGTGAGAATAAAGGTAGTTGAGTGTCGATTTAACAAGTGTGAAGAGGGTGTGAAAATGTACAAAACGAACGAACATGTTAGAGTGATAATAGTGAATTAATTATTAAAGCAAAAGCAAACTAATCACTAAAATAAAAATTACAGGGAAAGTTAATCAGTGTTACCATGTAGAATAAGAGACTGACAACGTTTCTGTATACAGAGTTCAGGGTTGCCAGCGCCTCCGCCATACACAAAAGCCGAAACCTGACGCCCTTTGTACCATTTGGCCTCACCTTGTAGATGATCTTGAAAGACGACTCTGTATTCAGAAAAAGTTTGTCCAGTCTCTTATTCTACATTGGTCTTGACCTCTTCACTAGTCGTTCCCTGTAAAAAGTTTTGATTTTTTTCTTTTCCTTTTTATTTTTAATTTTACTTTCGCGTTAATAATTAATTCACTATTATCACTCTAACATGTTCGTTCCTTTTGTACATTTTCACACCCTCTTCACACTTGTTAAATTGACACTCAACTACCTTTATTCTCACTCAATAGCAATCATTTTTCTTGTGACTGAAGAGTACTGTTCACAGTATAAGAGGTGGTGTTGTTTTTTTCTTCCTGTCTTTGACACATTCACACACACACACACAAAAGATAAACTTGATGCATTATGAGCCCCAAGAGGTGCGCTGCACAAAACTTCATACTTTGTGTTAGCTCGGGGATACTTTCCGGATGCTCAAATCGACGCAGGTGGTTGTTTTAATAGGCCAACCACCAAGTCTTCGGCTTCAGGTCTGATCCATGATTTCCAGTGATCATATGTCACTCGATCTACCGGATTTTAGAGTCAATTTATACAGATTGTAGGTTTTGAATGAGGGTTTCCCAGCTCTCCTAGGTAGAATAAAGTACCCATCAGTTCGATTGTGAACACCAGACGTTCGAATTCACCCTTTGACTTTTCGGAAGAACACCCGTACTGTGGCGTGAAGACAGTGAATGAATAGCACTTCTCTGACAGAGGTTATGAGGGCGTGATTGAAATGAGTAATTCCAACGTTTCGTTCGGAAATCTGGTCCGAACTTCTTCAGGGAAATTAATCGAAATTAACATAGCAGAGGTTTATATTTTAAAGAAACATCACTTGTTTTCAAAAACTTTGTCCAATCATGAGTCATTCAACAAGTATAATAAACAAACAAAATTTTATGAGCTGTGATCAAAATTTGACCTCGGACTTACAAATATTGGTCTACCTTTGTTAAACACTTTAAACAGAGTGTGTATGTGTGTGTAGGTAAACAGTTGTAAAACATTTCTTAACGTCTCCATAAGAAGATATGGACAGTCGAGAATTTTGACCAGATTTCCGAACGAAACGTTGGAATTACTCATTTCAATCTCACTGAGATTTTACAAATATAATTTTTACAAATTAAACTACTGAATCCAAAATAGGGATAGTTATTACCTCACTTTAATGAGTAATAAAATGATAATGCTTTGTAACATGCTTAAAATTCCTCTTTTTCATTCCTTTGTTTCCTTAACTCTTTCTCTAACAGCTCGTGTAAATCATGATACAGAATCAATTGATACAACTGCGAACAATCATGATACAAAACTTCAACAGACTAAAACTCCATCTGCGACTTCAAACAATAATAATAACGACTTATCAGTAACATCACCATCGTCACAGCCTATAATCGATGCTACTGTGTCACCATTGGTTACCACCAGTGTTACAAATTTTCCGACATCATCTAAAGAAAATTCACGTGTTAAGCATGGAACGGAGCAAATAGTCAATTTACCTTTAAAATCAGAATTTGTAACACGTTAGTATTTCATTTTTGATTACTATTTTCCAAGGTTATTTTATTTTATCACCATCTGAAGTATGATGAAAGAGATTTTGTGTATTCTAAGGATAGACAATCTAAGGATCATCTGCGAAAGTCTCTGTCTGCAATTGAACCCTTTCCTAATTCAGTATGATTAAGAATGAAACAAAAGGAGAGTTAGATATGCTGTTAGTGTAGTGATAAACTGACAGAAATGTGTCCACCATCCACATAACAGCTGAGCATTATTATTATTATTGTTTCCTGTAATTCCTAGAGGAACATAGGGCTTCAGCCGTGCGTCTCCATTGCGTTCGGTTTTCTGCTAGAGTCTTCACCTGGCTCCAACTCTGCCCACACGCTTTCATCTCCTCTTCACATGACCTCCTCCAAGTCACCCTTGCACTGACGACCAACTCACCGCTTCCCATTCTGTCGGGTTCCACTCGAGCGATGGCTTGTCTAGTGATGTCACTTGATGGTTTCCTCAGAGTATGGCCAGCCAATCCATCTCCATTTCTTCCTGCCTATTTGTTTCACAATCAGTTCCTGCTGTGTTGGTTCGCTCATTGCCAGAGATCTCTGTTGCTGATCTTTTCTGACCGGCCATCTGATCTTGAGTATTGAGCGAAGACAACTAGCTGTTGATGAAGGTCTGTAGTTTGTTTGAGGTGCTCTTTATGACGCGCAGTGCAAGTCTCTGATCCGTATAGTAGCACTAACTGACTTCACATTGGAGTTGAAAATCTGGATCTTATTTTTGATGCTGAATAGGGCTGTTGACCTCCACACAGATTTGAGAGAAGTGAAAGCTTGTCTTGTTTTCCCGAACCTCGCTGCTTTGATATCCTCGTCAGTTCCGTTCGCCTGTAGTTGAAACGATGCTTCCCAGTTGGGTAGGTAGGTAAAAGAGGTTGTTTCTTTCAGGTTCCTCCCATTTTTGCTGGCTGATTGTTGTCTGCTGTTGTTGCTGCTGAGCATTAACTGTGATGAAATTACGACGCATCAGTTGGGTCTCATTCGTCGACTGGTAGTAGAGAGTTGGGCCGGTGAGTCGGTTGGGGGTTGGGGGGAGCGTGCTGGTTTGAATCCTGCCGTGACCTGGATTTTTATTTCACCCTCAAATCATCAGTCTGCCGATGCAAGACTACCTGTTATTGTCGAATTACTATCAAGTACTAAATCTCCTGACAGTCTAAGCACCTCCTGAAGGAATGTATTGGGTAATTTGACTAGAAACTACTTAGCAGCCAATGACATGCGTCTAATCCTTAGTGTCGGTACAGACTGAATGGTGGTCACATTGCAAATTTGATTGATTGAATTCAGTCTGCACCAAATGAATGACTGGGCGCACTACATTAGTTACTATTTAGTGTTCAATCAAAGTATCCATTACAGACAGTCCTACCGGAGGTCGACCGCGATCCAGAATAGCTCAATTGTAACATCTCTGACTGCAGAACTGGGTGACTCAAGTTCAGAGTTTAGGAGGAACATGAGTTTCTCGGTGATTTTAGTTGCTCCTTTCTGACTGGTGACTGGAAACAAGCATGAAACCTGGGTCCAAGACTTCCTGTCGAATGCCTTCAACCATCTAACGGCAACTCAGAGCTTTGTATTCGATAGTGTACGCTTCACCAACAAGCTAGGTAACATGGTCAGCATTAATCTCGCTAAGAAGTGGGTCAATAATTACTAGTTTCATAAATATTCAGGCAAATTCACGTCTTTCGTCTTTTTTAACCTTGTTCAATTATAATCGAGAAGAGACAAAGATTTTTTATCATTTCCAACTGTTGATCCACTTTGGCTGATTTTTGCTGATTGGTTTACAGTTGACTGTTTCTCTTTCTAAGTAAACTGTATGTTGGTTGTTTGCAGTTATTGTTAGAATGCCATGCTTCTGAAAGATGTTTTCTTGCCTTTAAATTTGCACACTGCCAAGGGCAGTGGGATAGTACGCGACCTTATGGTTGTGTGCAAGGTTTGAAGAAGGCTGTGTACTATATGCATGCGCCTCGCCCTGATAATGTTTTAGAGCGAACTATTTCTTGCCTTTTGGAATGCCGAACGCGGCTTGTTCTGGTTGTTATCCTCCTTGGTGCTAAGGCGTCTTAGGGGGCACTGGGGCATTGACTGCGAACGGTAGCCTGGTTATGAAAACCGAGCGGTAAGGATGTTGGGGAGAGTCTCGTATCCCTATAACAACGGGGCAGCTTGATTCGAACCTTCGGACGACCTACGAGGGAATCATTTCCGAGACTAGTTTGCTCGTGGATGATGGCCTTTAAGGCTTCGTTGGACTGCGATCAGTCACGGGTCTCCGCGGCTGGTTGTAGGTCTTTAAAGCTGTCCAGTGAGATCATACAGCGCAGGTAGGTGGCGCGACCTCCAGCTGTTTGGGCCTGCAAGCGTCAGGGTTCCGCCCATGATTTAGTGGGAGCAGAGCAGCCGTGGGAGTAACCGTCCGCAGTTCGTGGACCCAGTCTCTCAGACCAGAATGAACATTTTTGTACAACTGAGAGAATTGTCGGCACTTTAGATGCTCTCGCCGACCCTATGTCGATTTAAGGAATTGTCCCTAATCCGAGGACGGTGGTTGTATGCTACCTGGAAGGTGGAAGTGCAATCATGTGACCAGGCCGTGTGAGTTGTCATGACCCGCTGAGGTGGGCCAGTATCTACCATCTGAGAAGCAGCCACGGTTTGGTTGAGACCGGACAGTGGGCGGGTGGGAAAACACCTACCGCTACGGGAGCGTTAATGGGGTGCCTGGCATAGGGTGCTCATTTTCATGCTGCAACGTCGCTGAGGTGTTGTCTACTCAGCAGGGATACTGACTCTGGGGAAAATGGGTTTGTGGGAATTATAGTACCGCCCTCTCTGGAGGCCTTGTTGAAAATACGACGTAAAACACTTAAGGTAACTATATTCTTCCAATCGGAGTTTTGTGGTTGTCTTCGTTGTGTACATATAACGAGAGAGACCAAAGAGGGTTCGTAGTATTTTATCTTACGATGAAATAACTCATAAACCATTTGGTCGATGTAGCAACCAATAAAATCTTCAAAGTAATGATGTTGGTTTCCGTACCATTCCAATGCGAAGTAATCTCTTTATGACCCTTCTGAAGCATGTTTGAGGTAGGGTTGAGTGTGTACTCTTCTATTGCCTCAGGGCGCTCGGTAAAGCTCAAATACTTCTGTAGGAAATGATAAATAAGCTTTTTTTCCAACCTTTTTTGTCTTCTATATGGGAATTTCTTCTCCCTTTTTTTAATTTCGTCTAAATTTCCTCTTTTCCCACTTTTATACAGCACTTGGTCGGTGTTTAGGAAATGATTTCGACGAAAATATGCAAATCACCAGTAATCAATTTGTTGTAACCGCTGATAGTAGAGCTGTTATACAATGTGGTTATTATGATAGATCATTTCGTATTTATGGATCACGTAGCAGTGAGTTGCTTCCTTTTTTTCTGTATACTTCTATGGGATAAGTTATTGCATCATTGAAATTATAAGCTAGCGATGATTAAATTATATGGATTGCATGTCATATTATATTCTGTGTATATATCAGTGAAACATCTCCTCTAACTTCATCTGTAACAACAGAAGACAAGGGCCAGGCAACAGATCGTTTATTTAGGAAATCAACAGATATTTATAGATTTTCATGTAAATTATTATAGATTATTGTGAGCAAACAAACACAGTCTTCTGATTGGTGATTTCTCGCTGAACGTTAATCTTTCATCCCTTTGTGGCCGTTTCTTGAAGTTCAGATTATCTGTCTGCCAATCGTATCCGCCTACGCAAAGTTTGCTGTGATTGGTTGTTGAGTCACTCTTTATTCTTATTTTTCTCATGACCAATATTGGGGACGTACAAATTGAAGTAAATAACTATCTACCAATTTTGGCTAGCAGCCAGCTCTCACCACACATCGACTTTGAAAAAGCCTTCGTCAGCGTTAATGGTTAAGTGATTTGGAAAACTGTTTGAACACTACACGGAGTACAGTGGCGCAAACTGTTATCCACCTAATTTAACAGGTATATGACGATGCCGCATGTCAAGTGATTCATAATGGAAAACTCAGCGAAGTCTTTGAAGTGAAGACAGGATAAACTCGAGATTGTTCAGTATCACGGATAATATTCCTAATTTTGGTGGACTGGTTAATATGACGGACTCTTTTGGGGAGCGAGAAGACAGGAATACTTTGGGCCAACAAGCAAACTACAGAATATCTGGAGATCTACAGGTAAAAATCAATAAGTTGGCGGAAGAGGTAGGCAGCGAAGATAGGAATTCAAGTGTATATAGAGAAAAAATGGGTGTGCAATCATCATCAACATCAGGAAAGTGAAGGAAGTCGCCTCTTTCAGTTATTCAGGCAGCCATCATTTCAGTGACAGGCGGAACGGATGAGGATGTCAAAGCCAACCAGGAGTGGAAAGGCCAGATAGACCTTCGTTAACCTGGGGAATCAGTGTGGAAATCTGCCGCACTCAGCATAAGGAAATTCCAGCACTAATGCCTAGTCATTTCTCTTATTTGGTTCAGAAGCTTGACTTGTCACCAAAAGGATTTTCAACAGGCTACTGCAGATTTTTGTTAACAGATGTGTTCGCTGACTGGATACTGAAGATCAGACAGTCTGTGGGCCAGAAAGGATAAGTAACAAGGAACTCTGGAAGACCGCGGACCAATCAACAATCTTTTTTCCAACAAATATTGCGAAGAAAATTGAGATGGGTCGGATACACGCTGAGGAGAACAGATGGCAAACAACTAGTTAAATGTCTCAGGAAGATAAGGCCATGTGAAGAAGAAATTGGCGATTGTGGACAGTCGTGGGACCAGTTATTAAAATGAATAGCAGACAATCGACTATAGTGGAGAATCGTTACTGAAGCCCTATCTTCTATTTGGAACACATGGAATAGATAATTAAATATTTTCCAAGAGTTAATTTGTAAGAATTTGATTTTTTTTTTCGAGTCAGACCACGAATTGACATCGGTTAGGGAACTAGGATGAAACAGCTGTCCAGTACTCCGCTGGTGTTCAATGGTTCTTTGACTGATATCAATCCGTGGTCTAACTCGAGAGATTAATCGAATCCTTACGAATCAACTCTTGAAAATTAATCTGATGCCTGCCAGTAACTTTCTAAAGAATGGAGTTTCCTGGAGTTCTAGTGAGAATTCATGACCAGTGTGAGGTTCATCTAGTCGGGAGTGAGTATGGAGTTCTCGCCGATGACATTGGTTGGTGGTCGCACTAAAATCACGAATTCGTAGAAGTTAGAATTCATGGACTGGCTATTGGATCGGGTCCCAGTGGCTTAACGATCTACGAGCTCGCCTTGTAGCCAGGAGGTCTTGGGTTTGAACCCCCTGTGGCGGGTGCGTACTGCCGACGAGCCCCAGACTAGGATGAAATAGATGTCCAGTACTTCCTGGTTTCCAATGGTTCTCTAACTAATACCAATCCGTGGTTATCTTCAGTCACCTAGGCGAATACACGTACAAAAGCTGGTCTTACTTAGTAACTGATACTCCTCATTATAACTGGGACGCATTTTTTAAGTCATGTCATAGGAAGATACCCTGTTTAATGTGTTTTCTTGTAAATATACGTCATTTTTTGTACAAAATTTCCTCATTTTCATGATTGGTCGGCTCAAGGTCACCCGTGCGTTCGCATCCCTTGAGACTTTGCCTGGTATAACTCGAAAAACAAAATATCTGAAAAAAATGATTTTCACTTTTACTGTCTATGAAATTTGTACGGTTAAGAGTGTTCAATATAAATGTAGAATTACACGAACAATAACCAAATGTCCCTTCACAACTTATGTCAGATTATTGATAGCACCATCATCGGTCCGTTTTATTTTAGGTTATCTCACCAGCCGACCATACTGTTACATCGTCACTGGAATATTCAAATAATAAGTTTGAAATCGTTTTAAGTCATCTAACTAACAGCAACGTAAAGATGTTGTGGTTTATTCTGTTAAATGTTTATTAGACCACAATTTTTTATTGCAACCCTTTTTTCTTCCCGCTCTTGATGTTGTCTAAATGACAACGATTACCAACTACCACCACAAATTCTATTCTCTCATTCCTTTGCGTTCCGAATGAGAAATTGCGCTTCAGACTTAAAGCTTGAGTCTACTAACCGGCCCAAGTAATCTAGTGGATAACGCTTTTTGTGCGTCGGTGGTATAGCGGTTAGGACGCTCGCCGACCATGCACATGGTCCGGAGTTCGATCCCCTGCCGACGCACACCTGATATCAACGGTTGGCCTGCGAAATTTTGGCTACCGATACCGCGTGCTGAAAACTCCATACTTGTACCAAAAAGTGCCGTGTGATTTCAAGCTTTAATCAAAATCAAAATATATAAAAACTAGATGAAGTTTAGAAATTCATCGGCTGGCGCCCAAACCGTGTACCGCATGCTTGACTGGCAGGCATTCTATCACTGAAGCGCGGACACACACTACCACTAATATATTAATAATAATAGTGTTAAACCTGTGCTTTTTATTTTCTATTTGTTTGTTTTTCGTTCTGTTTTTTGTCTAATTGTTCTGTTGTAATAAAAAAATAAACACATTTTGTTTTATAGATCGTTTAATTCAAGCAGTGTTTGGTCATAGTGATATTGTTACTTGCTTAGCCCGTTCAGAATGTCATTTTAGCCAGTATTACTATCTAGCCTCTGGTAGTCGAGATTGTACTGTTATGTTATGGATGTTCAGTATGCAACGTTTATGTGTTGTTACTAGTCAAGGTAAGTCCTATGTTTATAAATTAGTAGTATGATAATTTTCTCCAAAAAAATGATTTAATAATAATAATAGTGTGTTTTAACAAAGATAGATTATGAGTGTGAATGCAAGTTATGTGTATCAAATCACTTTATATTAGAGTAGTAAATAAATGCATACACACACATGGACGCATGGACTTACTAGTGAAAAAAAAAGTGTTAATCGGAAAGGTTTCACAATAATTGAGTCTCATTATTTCGTTGTTCTCTGAGTGATTATGTAGCTTGGTGAATGGGCGGGTGGGTATATATTCCTTTATCAATAACTGAATTTGACAGAAAACCTATGAAAGCTGTAATACTTTTGGTTTGTATAACTGACAGTGATTAGGTATGATCGAGTCAAGATCTGATTCTAATTGGTTTATGCATATTCAACTTTTAGTCAGTAGTTTCCAGTTTCAGACCCCACTCTGTATACCTCAGCCTTGGCGGTTGGGGTGGTATTTTCATTAATCCTCACGTAATAAGTGTGGCTGATTTCTTGATACATGAAACATGTATTCTGAGTAACTGACTTCTAACAAGGTAGTGACAAAACAACAGATAAATTAGAGAAGTAACGTCAAGAAAATGTTTTGATTTGTCACTGGTAACTAATGTTATGCGTTCAGTCCTTCGTTTGGCGCTGACTAAACTCTACCAGTCATGTTTAGCAACGTGGCCACCATTCTAGGTGACTCGCCATCACCAATACACTCTGAAGCGATGTTTGGAGGCAGTCGGACCTCAGAAATTGGTGACGCGAGTTCGAAGCGACATGAATTCCTTGAAGTTTGCAAGTTACATCTTGCTGACCGTGTCCCGAGGGCCACAAAACGTTGGTCCAAGACTTCCTTCCGATTGACTTCAATCATCTAATAGCATGGAAATCTTCTTAAAGGTTTTTATAACAAAAAGAAGGCATGCATCAGCACTCATTACATGAGCCTTTACTATGATATATATATATGTTTGCGTGCTAGGACTGCAGTTTGGCGAAATAAAATAGAGGCACCCAAGTTACCTATGAATACTTCATAATGCCTAATTTATTACTCTGCTATGCACTCAATGGTGTAAACTCTCAGCTTTAATCAAACATAGTTGGAAGTAAAAGGTTAACATACCTTTAAGTAAGCTTTATTTCGCCTAGTAACATGTTGTAGTGTAATAGTGGAACACAGAGAAGTACTTGTGGCAGGATTATTGATTAATCCAAATCACCTACAGTAGTAGTAACTGCTATTTGCATGAAGTTTTCATGCTCGGCTTCTTTTGTATTCATTATTTCATGCTTTCTATATGGAGTCTAAATTTTCTTTGTCTCCCTTTGTTCACAAATTGATTAGTCTCCCTATTATTCAAGATCCTTTCAGAAGACGTCACACATTAAATTACTCAATAGTACACGTTTCATTAGTAGATAAGTTGCTGAGCTAATGTAAACTGTATTTATTATTATCAGACTCAACTGTCCCATAGATTTCGTTACAAAGATCATTGAAACCAGGGTGGCAGTCTTCAGCAGTGCGCATCCACGACCCCACAAGGGATCGAACTCAGGACCCTCAGGTTATGAGGCCAAGCTCCATTCAGCCACTTGGGTCGGGATTCAGTGACCCATGAATTCTAATTTTGTCAAGTCATGATTTTAGCACCACCCTCACCAATGCCTTTAGTGAGCTGTCCAGTGTTCTGTGGTTTTCAATGATGTTTCTAACTGATGCTGGTTTGTGATGAAATCTAACAACTGAAATTAACTATCTATGCAAGCTCCTTTCTGCCAAAATATGCACTTACGACTTCTTAGTATTTCAAATTTTGAGTGTATTAATTTTTCATTTGCTTCTTTTTTTTCTATATAAACACATTTTATTTCTAGGTACACCTAAGCCAGTAGTTATCTTGAACGGTCATGAAGCTAGTATCAAGTGTATCAGTTTGTCAGCGGAATTGGGTCTAGTACTGAGTGGATCAGTTAGTAAGTATAACATTAACTTTGTCAATTTGCTTCTTTGTATTTTAAAAAAAAACTGAAATATGTTTTCGAACAGGCTTTCAAACTTTTATCAACAGCTTCCTTCTCTGGCTACATACTGAAGATCAAATCTTCAAAAATGATTAACAGTAAGGAACTCTGGTAAGCCACCAACCAACCATCAGCCTATTACCCAACAAATATGCCTAAGTAAATCGACAAAGATCGAACACATACCGAGGGAGTGGTACTGAAATCCAGCCCAACCCTCGACTGGAACCTGAATAGTAAAAGAAGAGTTTGGTCATTGGTCCGAGGCTGACATGGAGGAGATCATGTGAGATGGAGATTAGAGCCCATGGGCTATCGTGGAGTCAGTTAAAGAAAGGACAGCAAAGAACGGGCTGAAATGGAGGTGTGCTGATGAAGCCATATGTCCCACTCAGAACACAAAGGAATAATAATAATAAAAGTTTTGCTTGGTACAAATGAAATGAATATCCCTTCGTCCTTCAAGATATTTATGTTGAAATGTTTAACTTTAGTAGAATAAATTTGAAGTTTTCTTGATTTCGCCAGCGATTTTTTTGAAAACATGTGCTCCTATAAATTATTTAGTTTGGGCGGGTTGTTTGAAAGTGAACACAGTAAAATAATGTTATCTATCTTAGAACACCTTATATGAATTATCTTTTTTTAAAAGTAATCTACATTAGCGGAACCGAGATGCTCCAACCAGTTGACCTACTTTTCTATAACTGGAGAGCAGTAGCGATATACAAATATAGCCGTTTTAGCCTTGTATTCAAAAGAGCTTTAAGAAATGCAGTGTCAATTTACTATTCCCTTCCAATAATTTTATTAAACTACACTGTTGACTTTTGTCTCTGTTATCTCACAAAGTGTATAGCTGTCGTTTGAATTCTATGTCACTTCTGTAGGATGATCAGTTTTCACTGACAGACTGTAAATAATTTAGTTGGTTAAACAGACTTAGTAGCTTCTAAACGTTTGATATAAAGGTTCATCGTTCCAACTATCCCCATAAATGACCTGGTACGACCAGGGACGGGTAAACTTTGGTCTTCCTCTCAAAATGCTCTCATGTCACCACTCCTTTATAACCTCTGCCAGGTAAGTTTTATTCACTACCTTCACGCCAGGGATGAGATATTCCTCACGAAAGTTAAAGGGTGAATTTGAACTTCTGACGCTTACAACCGCACTGAGGGACAGGCTAGTCCACCCAGGGGAACTAGAAAACCCCTATAGCAAACCTCTGATGTGTGTACATTATAAGAGAGGAATAATACTATGAAATAAGAGTAAAAGTGCCTTCAGTGTAAACTGTCGCCTTGAAAGTGATCACCATTCTTTCCAACACCATGTTCAGTAACCGATCATGTATTTATAACACAGTATAACCATTTTATCAGCACCTACTTCGCTAAATGATCTTAACATTTACAGGATTTCATCATAAGCTCATATCAGTTAGAGAACCATTGGAAAGCCAGGGAGTACTGGATAGCTGTTTTTTTCTAGTTTAGGACTCTTCACAGTACGCTTCCACCGGAGTTCGAACCCACAACCTTCCGATTAGAAGATTAACTCGTAGACGATTCAGCCACTGAGACCTGTTCTAATGACTCATGAATTCCAGCTTCTGCCGATTCACGATATAGTGCGACCACTAGCCAATGTTATCGGCGAGTATCTGTCCTCACACCTGACCTGCTGTACCCCACTGGTGGTTTTAGTGGTCTATGAGCTCGCCTTGTAACCGAAAGGTCCTGGATTCGAACCTCGGTGGGTGCTTTCTGCCGATGAATCCCAAACTAGGACGAAGTGGCTGTCCAGCACTCCCTTTTGATTTTCCAATGGTTCTCGTAATGATGTCAGCTGATTATAAAATCATATAACCAGTTAAATCAAATCCGCGCAAAACAGCACTTCGAGATCTTAACAGTTATTTGAAATCTACAGTAATACCAGGCGATAACCGTCTGCCGAATTCGTTCTTAGTATACACAGATATTGTAGTAATCAATTTATCGTTTTTTTCTTATTATATTTAGACGGGACTTGTCTGTTGCATTCAACACGTGGTGAACTACTACGTTCATTATGCTCACCGTATACAACAGCAACACTTGATCAAGTGTCGACACCATTACCGTCATCGTCTTCAACACCTCCAGTTGAATTGGCTAATTCCAAGCAACCTGAGCCAAATTTGTTTACATATCATCGTGAAGGTTATCTACTTGGCCAGTTCGATCATTCTTGGTTATCACTGTATAGTTTAAATGGGAAATTATTACATTCCAGTGATTTAAGTATTCTATCAAATAATACAAATTCATCTATTGTCTATCATATCAATGCTATGCTATTTAGTGATTGTGGTCGTTATATCCTAGTCGCTGGTAATGATGGTGTAATATGGATACTGAGAAGTTATAATCTATTACCAGTTCATGCATTTCCTAAATGTGATACATCAGTTGAATCGTTAAGCTTAAGTCATGACCAACGGTAAGTTATAGGTGACACTTCGATGATGCTTTTCTTCTATTCTTACTCTCTTTGTTTTATTCCTTTACGTTCCCAGTGGAACATAGGGCTTCAAGCTAGAGGCTTGAAGTTTCGGTAGCAGTGTGGTTTATTTTTACGGGATGGGGTGGCTAACCTCATGTCCAACCTTCTCTCTTTACCAGCCTTATTAGTGTCTTAGCGAGGTAAAGTACTTCGCCGGCCGAGGATCGAACCCTGGACCCCATGCGTAGTCGACAAGCATTCTACTGCTGTGTCACCGACGCACCATTCTTACTCTTACTGTTTATTATTGTTATTCAATGCATGTTTATATTTACTTGTAATATAAAATCGTTTTAAAGTAACACTGGATGAAGACACCTTAGTAAAATTGGTGGTAATTATAGTCAGTTTAAAACTTAATTCATTTTTCATGACCTTTTATAGATCAGGCATGCTTGGTGGTGGAGTAGATCTATGATATATACACAGGTGACCCATCAATATCAATATTGATGAGTCACCTGTGTATATATCAATCTACTTCCTGGAGTTTGCAGTCTACATCGTCTTATTATGCGATAGCATGCAGGCTGTCCAAATCTCACTTAATCAGTGCCTATAAGTATGGTATGTGCTTTGAGCTGTCTACGTGCAATGTACTTCAGCAAGATTGACAGGAACCTGTATCTGCACCTCTTGAAGTTGTCGACAAGTTCGTGTATCTAGTTAGTTGTGTGAGTGCTGTGGGATGTGTTACGGACTAAATCTTTAATTGTATAATGAAAGCTAGGATGGTAGATGCCAATTCGGGCCACCTATATGGAATCATCACTACATCAACCTGGCTGTTAAAGGCCTAGTTTACAATTCATCGGTGCACATACTCTTGTTGTACTACACCTAGAAAACCTGGCTTCTCTAAGCTGAGGATGTGCGGCAAGTTGGTATATTTGATCAGCACTGCCTCCTTAGAATTGATTGCATCCGATGGTATCGTTATGCAAATAACTCTGAGGTCTCGTAGAGCGTATGCCTGGACATGATGAAGGTCACCATCCCTTGAGTGTATTCATCTTTAAACACCGTTTTCGGTGACTGTGATAGGTGCTATGAGTGTCACCACAGACACTTTCGTATCGGCCATCGTTTGCTAGCCTTAATACTGGATGGAAAAAGTGGAGTGGTGCCGTAAAATAAAGAACATTTGTGTTAGGTTAGGATCAGTTGATGCAGCACGACCCGAGAGATAGCTCGAATCGCCGGCTCAAAACGTTATCAGATATAGCCAAGAATCACAATCGATGGCGAATTTGCTGCAATTTCCTTCTATCTTCCCTTTTTAAGATACATTGAACATGAATCTTATCTGATTAACATATTTATAGTATTCATGTGCAAATCGTAAAAAAAATGAAAGTCAGGTAGTTTCACTTTTTTCTATTTTAATGTGTTATTAAGCCTACTATGCACTTCTTATTGTTTTAATCGTGCAATTATATCAAATGATCAATACATGAACTGGCGCGCATATTTAATTATTTTGCCACTACACTGTTAATCACTTTTCTTTTATTCTTCTTCTATAGTTTTATTTTTGCTGGTCTCAAATCAGGCTGTGTAGCTGTATTCTTTGTCGACTTCAATCAATGGCATCATGAATTTCAACAGCGTTACTCTTGAAATCAAGACAAAAGTTTATCTATCTATCTAACATGACATGGCATGACAATTACAAGTTAATTGTAACCCACCCACCGGCCCACTCACTACATATCATAAATTCATATTCTTAGGTATATTTTGTCACTAATATTTTCTGTCTTCTTTTGTTTTGTTGATGTTATTTTGAGAGATAATTGAAGTTTTTCCTTCTAGTAAGCAGTTGAATGCTTACTAGTTTGTTTAAATGTCCCGCCTTTCGGTTTCTTCATGTTAATAACAAGGTGGCGCGCACACAAATACATATAACTTCTCATTTCGTCAGGGAGTTTTTCCTCCTTGTCTTTTCTCTTCTGTTCATTCCAATAATTTGAAATGTGTATCTACTGCTCTTATCTACCAGCTATCAAAATAATAATAATGATAATAATCAAATGTGATAATAATCTAGCATCCCTTCATTCATTGAATTTGATAATTTCCCTTCTTTATTACGCAATCTGTTTTCCTTATTGTAAAGAAGAATATTTCTCAATTGTCCTTTGTTTCTTCTCCTCTTCCATGTAATCAGTGATACTATACATGAATATTCTCTACTTGTGTGGCTGTGTTTGCGCGCGCGTGCACAATGGTCATTTGTTGTTTTCTTTCCTCAATCATGCAATATATTTATTCGTATCTAATATTATTATTTAACATAAATGTGATAAGCATAATTCACTTATGGGCATTGTTAGTGTTCACATTTCAAAATAAAAGGTGGTGATTCATGTGTGAATGGACTTTTATACATATAGATTTATTTAGAACACTTGGTTGTTTACAGGTTTGATCAGGAGCTGTGACATCAGTTAGAGAACCATTGTAAACCATCACCACTAGGGAGTGCTGGACAGCTTGTGCTCCTCCTTCTTTTGGACTCTTCAGTAGCAGCAGGCATCCATGACCCCACTATCGATTTGATAACCCATGAATTCTAACTTTTGTCAATTCGTGAGGCATAGCGTGACCACTGACCAATATCATCAGAGAGTTGGTGTACCCCGCGACTTACGACTTCTTTGTGGAACTCCAGGTAACTGCCTGTATAGAGTCAGTCACTAAGGTTCGATTATTATGATCACGAGGTGACACCATTTGCAGAACCATTTGAAAACCAGAGAGTAATGGACAGCTGTTTGACCTTAGATTAGGACTGTTCAGAAATACACACCTAACGGGGTTCGAACCTACGGCCAACACTTGAAAAGATGTTCACTTTGAGAGGTTTCCATTGGAATGGATTACTGTTAATAAACTGTGGCTAGGTTGTATGTAAGTATCAATTCAGACCAAACAGGTGTTAATCAAAATAAGAATTGATTGTGTTCTTTAACAGCTTACTCAAGTTGTCATATTCGTGTTGCAAATAGACGGTGATAAGGTTACAAAGGAGGGAAAATAATACGAATATAATAGTTTGATTTATTTTATTTTCATTATTGGTACCAGGACATATACCGCACAAAATCTGGTAGTTTGCCCGAGGGCTGGGATGCTACTCGAGTGCCAAGACCGAAGAAGGTGGATGTCTTAAGGGGCCAACCCACCCTCGAGTCATTGATTTGAAGTCTACTCCAGCAGTGAATAGAGCAGTGTCAGGAGCTACGCCCTTATAGTTTCCGGTAATTAAACCAGGTTCATACACCATTCAATCCGTTCGAATCCTGGAGCCCACGTACACACACCTTGTGTTTGGAATCAGAGTTTTCCAGCCCTCCTATTTTTTTGGTTACAGCTTGATTCCACACCGTATTTTTGGTACAGGTATGGAATTTTCAGCATGTGATATCGGTAGCCCAAATTTTGCAGGCCGACCATAGATATCGGGTGTGCGTCGGCAGGGGATCGAACCCCGGACCATGTGCATTGTCGGCGAGAGTCCTAACCACTGTACCACCAGCACGTCAACCATCCCAGTTTTAAGCGCCAGACGTCCACGTTCGTCCTTTGAGTTTCGTGAGGAACACCTCCGCCGTGGCGAGAGGTTAGTGGATGAGGCACGCCTGACAGAGGCTATGAACGCGTGGCGGCATTAGGGCATTTCGAGAAGAAGACCGAAGTCTACCCATCTTCGGTCGTATATGAGGGTAGAATGATTTAGACGAAATAATGAATTATTAAACCGAATATAGACGGGTTATTTCATCAAAACTATGATCCTTTTTTCTTACTATCACACTTTGTCTTCGTCCATCGATTTCGGTTATTTCACAGATGTTATCAGCTTAGGCTAAAAGTTCTAGTGCATGGCATATTTCCTTCACTTCAACTTGATGAAGTTAGACTAGAGTGGTTTTTTTCTTGCTATTGATTTTACTGAATCGCAGGCATAAAATCTGTCTCTCTCTCCTTTGTTTACTGGCGGAAGTTAACACGGAAATTCTAAATGCACATTTCACCTTACTTCAGACTCGTTAGCTAAAAGTTCCTACTTTGCAATGAGTGGCAGTCCTCTTAGTGACACTCGAACCCAGTACCAATCATCAGAAAAGATGGCTTCCATCTTTCCTATCAGGTTCATTATTCTGTTCATAGTTAATGCAAAGTAGATGTTATTACTTTAATATCTTTATATGTAGATAACTAGTGTTCGAAATCTGCACTCTAAAGAATGAAACTGAGAAGGCCTCAGTGCTAATAAAATGTTCATAATACGAAGTACAAACATTTATAGTTATTTTATGCGGTTTCATGTTCTAATCAGCAATCGTTTGCTGGAGATTCCAAGTATTGATTTCTAAGGATTTGATTGGTTTCAAATTAAACTGCCAAGTTATATCAGCTAGAGAAGCACTGAAAACCAGCAAGTATGGAGCAACTGTTTCATCTAGATTTGGAACCCTCTTATTGGAGATCGAGCCCCGGACGCTCAAGTTATGAAGTAATCCTATCGACAGTTTAGCCACTGAGATGGACGAAATACAAAGGCACATGAATTCTAATTCTTACTAATTCACATTGTATATCCCAACTGCTAGCCAATGGCATCGGTAAGTATTTTTATTTTATTCATACACCCGACTCGGTGTACCCCACTGATTACAACTTCTCACTAGAAGTCCAGGCAATTTCATCCTACAGTCATTCACCTGAGTTATTGTAGTGTTAAGTTCCATGAACTGTTTGATTTCTAATTTAAACATCACGGAATTCTGAATAACATCAAACAGGATTTATTTATACATCTTTTTTCGAAAATTGATTTATTATTTTCTTTTATTTCAAGCTTATTGTACTATAATAGCTTCGTAAACATGCCGAGACGTGTCTTTGAATCAAGTTTGATTTCCTCGTTGACTGATTGGACAGAAATGTTCGATCCCTGTTAAAATATCAGTTCCTAGTTGGGGCGCTTCGATGATATCTGAAGTAATTTGGTGGTTAGTGATTGACTGGCAGTGGAATCACAGTTGGCGGTCGGCCGGCCTATGATGTTAAGTATGATGAACTTTATTTACCTAAATTTCTAGTGAATTCGGAAACAACTTATTGCAATTCCTCTCTCTCCCTTTTTAATTATCGCATAGTCTGAAATTAGGATAATCCTGAAAAATTACCTCCCACCAGGACGTTAGAGAGAGAGAGAGAATGAGTGAGTGAATGAGAGAAATAAAAGAACAAAAAGCACAGAATAGAGATAGATTATCATCTTCAAAAGTAGCTGTACAATCACATTTATATACACATAAGTTTACATAGTTACGATTATTATTATTATTGTTATCATTAATATTATTATTTAATTCATTATGGTAAAGAAGGGAGATTGAACAGATTGAACAAAATTATTTAAACTCGATACGAAAAGTTTGATGGGGCGGAGAAAGAAAGAAAAATTACACAGGATTACAATGGTGTGTTGCACAGTATTATATATATATATATATATATATATATATATAAAATAGTTTTATGTATGTGAATAAATATATATATTATTGAAGAGTGAATACTTTTTCTTAATATTATATAATTATTATATACACATGTTTATATGTTTCATAACAAACCAACTGGTCTCTCTTAAATTGTGTGCGTGTCTATAAGCCACGACGGTGCACGAATGACAGACAGTCCTGCACGCACACACGCAGGCACACACACCCATACCACTTAATTATGTATGTGTCACAACAACAACGGTGAAAGCATTGCTAAATATCTCCTATATAAATTTATACTTCATTCATTATGATTATAGATATGTACAATTTTGTATATTATATCTGTGTTAATTCAATTGTGTGATGAAGATTTAAAAGCTGGATGATAGTGAATGGATAGTGTGAATTAATTTTTCGATTGTGGATTGTGGGATGCTTTACTACTACTTCTCATCATTGTAAAAGAACTTGGATCATGTACATCATCGGTATTGACTAGCACTGGAGTGGTTAATACACTCACTAATTTATTCATTGTTAATTTATCCAATTTCTCTGGATCTGATATTAAACTGGGATCTTTAAGGATAGCACCACGACGAACTTGTGAATACATTCGACCATAAGCATTACCTAATGAATAATTTAAAAGTTAAGTATAGATAAATAAATACATAAATAAATCACAAAATAATAAACAAACAGCAAAAAAAAACAAATAATACAAGGTTATAGACTAAAAGAAGCAGAGTACTTTTTTTAAAACAAATTTCAATGAATAATAATAATAGTGACGAACACTGTTCACAAAGAAGAATTTTTATCTACGTGTGCCAGTATGTGTCATACAACTAACTAAAAACACCACAGCACAGTCTAGTGTATCTGTATATTCATCACTTCTAAAGATGAATTATACCTCCACAGGAATTAGTATGAATGGGTGAGTTAGATATTGAATCACACTTACAATATACAAAGAGTCAGTTTGTAACACAGAAGGCAAGACACGGAAACCAAGGTATATTTTCAAATGATCAAACCGCTGTTTATATATATATATATATATATATATATATAGTGCGTCGGTGGCACAGCGGTTAGGACGCTCGCCGACCATGCACATGGTCCGGGGTTCGATCCCCAGCCGACGCACTCCTTTACCTCGCTAAGCCAGAACTAAAGCTGGTGAAGAGGAAAGGTTGGGCATGGGGCTAGCAACCCCATCCTGTAAAAATAAACACTGCTACAGAAACTTCAAGCCTTTATTTTGAAGCCCTATGTTCCACTGAGAACGTAAAGGAATAAAAAAAATATATATAAAAATATAAAAAAAATATATATAAAAAATATATAAAAACTATATATATATATATATATATATAGTTTATATTCGTTAACCAATCACTCAGCGTGTGATTTTGGTTTACACTAAACGACACGAAATAGAATGTTCAAACATACATAGTATTCGGTTGCTAATCCCGTATGGAACTGTGGGAATATGTGAGAACTATATTCCGTTGTGGAACACATTGTCTGTATCACACCATCACAAGTTTAAAGAGACACTGAAATCAATACTTATAACACATTAAGAACTAATTATAACGGTGAGTATTCGTCTTCACTCCCAACAGGATGGACTCCACTGTAAGGTCCTGAGTTCGAAGCCTCCCTGACGGTGGGTGCGTACTACCAATGAGTCCAACACAAACTAGAACGAAACAACTGTCCAGTACTCCCTAATTTTCAGTGGTTCTCTAACTGATATCACAATCCGTGGTTAGACTTGGAAAACAAATCAAATCCATGCAAACAAACTCTTGAAAATTAATCTGATGCTGCTGACTGGCTAGTGACTGCCTACAGGACGGAGTTTTCTGGAGTCCTGATGAGAAGTTGTGACTAGCTATTTATACACAAATTTTTATTTATTTATTGCACCACTCAAGTGGTCGTAAGGTTTATTTTTGATTATTTATTATTTTGATTATAGCTTGAAACCACACCGTATTTTTGATACAAGTATGGAATTTTCAGCATGTGATATCGGTAGCCCAAATTTTGCAGACCGATCATAGATATCAGGTGTGCGTCGGCAAGGGCTCGAACCTTGGACCATATGCATGGTCGGCAAGAGTCCTAACCGCTAGTTCAGATGGCGATGATGACAACGATGTACGAGATGATGAAAAAGCTGCAGATAACCTCATCAAGAGGAAGAAACCTACTCCCGATGCAATAAATGGTAACAGCGCCAATGATAATAATATTACTGAAGATGTCACATATAGTAGTGATTCAAATACTTCTCAGAAGGATGCAGGAAAATCTCCTGAGTCATCTGATCCCTTTGTACTCTTAACGCGGTAAGTTCTGTTATTCTGTGTTTTTGATGACTGCCTACTTCCCCTCCATTAAGTGTGTGATCTTCGATGTTCAAACTAACATGGCGATAGTGCATCACAGTTGACGACACAGTCTGACGTACATTATTCTGAATCTTTCTGTTTGATTAGGAGTTTTATCTGTTACACTGGTAACACACACACACACACAAAGTATCTAAATACAGTGTGTAGCTATAGGCTCCTGTCAATCTTGCAGCAGTGCTTCCTACTTCAACGGTACAAAAGCAAACACTATACTTTGAAATGATAAAGGAAATTAGTAACTCAGTTAGTATACTACTGTATTCTCTGGGGTTTCTTTTCTTGATACTGTTATGATGCTGGATCCTTTGTCACGAGGTCACTGCTTAACTACTGACCAGTGCCCACTTAACTGGTAAAGCAGAACACGAAGAGAATCAACGGTAAACCCAGGTTCATTTACTATGACAAAAGTGACTGTATTTATACAGAAAATAAGGTAGACTGGAAATCAACCAATCCGGTTGAGAGTTGGAATTGTGCAAGCGTCCAATCAGAAGCAGGAACAATTGCATGTCAACGACTTGTTAATAACGCGATAATAACTTGACTGAGAGATGATAACGACCTGATAATTGCATGTGTTTTGCCTCTTCCTAACACCTCCCCTTTTAAGATAGGGCTACCGGTAGCTTTTGTATCGCGGAATCACTTGTAGGTACTTTGGGGGTCTTCGTTGTCGTTGTGATCTCCTTGGCTGCTGGGACACTTTGCCTTTGTTTCGACTATTTTGGCCATGTGACGTTTTCGGATCCGTCGTATCTATCAATAGCTCAAATTGTGCGTCGGCGGACTTGGAATCGTTCAACTGTTTACCAACTAGTCTATTTCTTATTTGATTGTGAGCCTGACACAAATAAGGTCTCCAACCTTGACCTTATAAATGACTTGGCCTTTTCTTCCAACGATCACTCCAGAAACCCATGGACGATCTCTCCGTATGTAATCACGACTGACCAACCATGAAACTTCATTGCTTGGTACTATGACGTCTATTGAACCAAAATTCACTATTTTGACCACATTTGCTCCGTCTTGATGGGATCGGGATAATTGTATCCAAAGTAGTACGTAATCTTCTTCCAAACATAATTTCTGCGGGAGATGTTTGATTTGGGCATGATGGGTTGGTTGTGGTTCGATAAATGAAGAGGAAATTGTGCGATACACCCTCTATCGATCCCTCCCCGTTTGACTTCTGAAGTGCGCGCTTGAGTGTATCAACAACACGCTCTGCTTGTCCATTTGACTGAGGATGGTAAGGTGGGCTGCGAATATGTTGAACACCTAGCCGCTCACAAAACTGTTTGAATTGTTCAGCTGTAAACTGAGGTCCGTTATCGGAAACGATGATCTCTGGAACACCAAATCTGCTGAAAAGCTGAACCAACTTATTTAATGTTATCGTCACTGTGGTATTTTGCATAATGAAAACCTCCGGCCACTTGGAATACGCGTCGATTACCACGAGAAACTGTTTGCCATTGATTGGGCCGGCAAAATCTATGTGGATTCTTGACCACGGTTTTCCTGAGTTGGGCCACGGCTGTATGTCTGTCTTGATAGGCATTTTCAAAGCCTGAGCACAGCGAGAACACGAGCGAACCATCACTTCTAATTCACGACCGATATTTGGCCAGTAGACGTAACAGCGTGCCAACGATTTTATTATTTTTTATTTTATTCGCATCAAATTACACTTCACACGTTAGAAGTCCTTCCTCATATTGGAAAGCATGTCAACCTGATTATTTGTATGTAGGGTTTTTATGTCAGACTAAATTGAAACCACTTAGTCCTTTTGATCAATTTAAACAAGGCATTAAGAAGACTAATTAATACTTAGCGATGCTATCATTTTTGGAATAATCTCAAGCATTGCAAACTATGTGTACAGAAGAACAATAGACTTCCGCAAAATCTTTCAATTTTAATAAAAGCATTAAAAAAAATTTTTTTTTCTGTGCTTTGAAGTTTGTTTCTGTAGCGATTGGATTGATTTTCCAGGGTAAGGGTCACTGGCTCCATACGCCCAACCTACCCTCTTTTCCCGGGGTTTAGAACTGGCTAGTAAACCAATGAACCAATAACAAGGAACTCTGTCAAGGAACTAATCAAGGAAGCGCCGTTAAACATATATCCAGATGGATTGAGAGATACCTGAAGAGACAGGTGGAAATCATGCACCAAACCCTAGAGTAGAAAACACGATTGGAAAGCAACGGAGTTGGACATGAGTCCAAGGGTGATATGGAGGAGATTGTGCGAAGAGGAGGAGCAGAAAATGAAAGTCTATGAGTTATCGTGGAGCCAGCTAAAACGGATTGCACAGGACCGAGTAAAATGTAGGTTTGTCTCTGTCTGTTTTCGACATAGAACTTTGCACATATGTGCAGCAGTTCAAGTCACCACACTCCAATTAGCACACAAAGCAAGAGAAGAAAGTAGAAGAAATGCATAACAGAGACAGTAGACAGGGATATGAGACAAAAGGAATAGTGATAATGAAGCACAATATAGCTTCATTGGGAATTATAAGTCACAAGGAGTGGATGCTTCTGTGCCAGCCTTTGGGAACGATTCTGATCCATATCACCGGTTGCTTCCAACCATCGGTTTTCACCGTCCCAAGGACTCTAATCAGGAAGTCCACTTCCCCGAAAGTGGCTGGCTTAAACTAACTGTTGTGGATTTTATTGACTGATGAAGCCATGTTTTGGTTTGACCGACGCTAGCTCTATTCCAGCCTGACCCTATGTCAGTTAACATCGCTCGTCGAGGAAGGCGATGACTAGACATACGTAACACATGTCCTAACCATCTCAGTCGATGTAATTTCACAGTCTCGTCTATTGATTTCCCCTCCTTACCTAGCACTCGACCGATGCCTAACCTCAATATTGTTCACCTTCTTATAGCGCTTAAGACGGGAGATGGAACGCAGGCACCTATGATCAAAGACAGCTAGCTAGCCAGTCTTTTCATGTCTCCCACTCTCAATGGCCAGGTCTCACAGCTAGTAATAAGGAGGACGGAGCCCATTGATGAGCAGTACAAACGCCCTTTAGTTGACAGCCAGACAGATATCACATCTACTCCAGAGACGGCGTAAACTGACATATGCGAAACTAGCCTTCTGTATCCCTGCTGAGATTTCGTCAGCTATCAGTCCGCTGGCGTTGGCTGATGCAACTTCCCAAATCAGTGAAGCGGTCAACGTGCTCTATCACTTCACTCCTTATTTCTAAGCTAGGAGTCAGTGTAGTCCAGTCCTGTAACATCATCTCACATTTGGCGGGAGCGAATTGCATGGCAAACATTCGTAGATTGCAGCTCAAGGTGTTCAGAAGACACTGCTTTCATTCGTCAGCGTCTTCACCTAGAAGGACTATGTCGTCTGCACATTCTAATTCAACGAGATTATACCCTGGTAACAAGTCAATCCCTGATTCTCTCAAGTGAGTTAGAGTTGACTCCATTAGTACATCTATGACGAAATTGAATAGAAACGGGGATAGTGGGCATCCCTGACGGACACCACTAGTCGTCACCAGTTCAAATGACAACTCGCCGTAAGCCCTCACCTGGCTGACTGCATGAGTTCAAGTAGAATGTCTTGATCAGGGCAATGTATTTTATCGGCATTCTCTTTACAGCCAAACACCACCAGAGTACCTCTTGGTCTACAGAATCGAATGCCGCCTTTAGGTCAAGAAATATAACGATTGTCGGACACCAGTAAATAAAATGGAAGTGTGCTGTTGAAACCGTATATTCCACTCGGAACCCAAAGGAGAATAATTCAGTCTAAACTGCATTATAGCTGTGTATTGTTATGAACTGTGAATACATACATATAATCAGTAGAAAGAGTAATGTACACACCCAGAAAAAAGTGTCCTATGGGAGAACAATGCATAATCTCTCTATATATACAATTTCAAAAACTGATGCTTTCCAAAAGAAACAGACAAGAAAAAAATATTAAAGCAAACATTCACGTGTATTAATGGATAAACTAACTAACTAACTAACTTGGCAAATTATTAATCGCCGGTGTTATATAACGTGCTTGTTGAATTCTAGACGGATGTACAGCCACCGATGCACTACTACTATTACTACTGCTCCCAGTGTTGTTGTTGTTTAGTAGTGGTACTAATATCGGTAATCAATTGTGAACCAGCTGAATGATGAAGATCAGTAGTATTTCTAGTGGAGTTGTTAGCAGATGCTGCCGTCGTCGCCATCGCCATAGCCATCGTAGGAGAACCTGGATTTGTCACAGCAGTATTAGTATTCTTAGTATTATTCTTCTTAGTATTTTTATTAGGTACAACAACATTACCGCTATGCACAACTGGTGGTGACGTCATCACTTGACTATCGTTATTACTATGATTACTATTATCATCACTAATCACAATTGTCTGTCCACTAGTATTTGGTGATGAGACTGTAGGGAATTGAAAATTCGGCAATATAAAATGCTGGAGTTGATGTTGCTGTTGTTGTTGGTGGTGGTATTGTTGTTGTTGTTGTTGTTGAAGATACTGTAGATGAAATAGTTGTTGCTGTTGTTGAATTTGTTGTTGTTGTTGAGCTATCCATTGTTGTTGCAGCATTACCAGACGCTGGTGTTCAGCTAATGACATACCGTATTGTTTTTCTTCTTCATATTCTCTCCATGCTTCTTGACGTTCCACTTCTGTTAAGCCTTCATCTTCCCTGTGCTGTAATAATGAATCATGATTATGGTAGGTGGCTATTAAATGTCGATATTCTGTAAGCATATCAGCGAGCAGACGATCTTTAGGCAATATCGGTGTAGGACGTTTATCGCTATCATTATCATCTTCAGGATTCCAGATATCTGGTTCAAAAGTGAACAATTTTTGTAAGTCATCATCTGAAAAGTGTCGATCAATTTGTAGCTCATCAACTACTCGTAGTGATAAAGACTGTTTCGTTACCTAAGAGGAAAAACAATAAGAACAACAACACCATTAAGTATTATTGATATAAGGATAAAACTTGGACACTGTGGGAGAGTATAACTCCATTATAGATAAAATTTTATTTTCATAAAATCCCAAGTGTTATACATAAATATTTATTGGTAACCACGTTTCGAGCACAATTTATTACTGCCACTCATAATCATATCAAGGCACTACTCACACAAGTTTTTGCTTCATTTATAGACATGAGGAAAAAACTGTCTTTTATTGATTTTATCCATATGTCTAATCAAAGTACATTCGGAAATAATATTAGTGTTATGAATAAAATACAATCAGATGGGAAATAAGACGAGTGTTTTTACAGTAAAAATAAGTAACTTGTTAGAATGTTATGATGTACGTGAATTGAAGTAGAATTTTAAGATTACTTATTATCCTCCTCTGATTTGACTGGTAATAATATCTTCCATATCTCTAGTATGTGCGTTGAGTCACTCCTATTGCATGTATTGGGTGCAGATTCAATGAACAAAGATTCAATCATGAACCTTTCTCTCCACCTACCTATATTACTTTTTAGAATTTTAACTCTGTCCCACACACCCTATTGTGTGGTTGTGCGTTAATGCATGCAGTGCTATGTAGCTGAGTTTTTCTCTAAATTACTTATCTTCGCGGGGTCAACCATTCTAACCTTAGCTAAATTCTTATGTTCTGATAATCTCACTACTCCATGATCTACTAGTTTGACCCATATAGTTGACCTCACAGTCAGTGCAAGGTATTTTGTAATTTATATTATTTCGTTTAATTGGATCCAACAGGTCCTTTAACCTACAGAGCTTGTCCCTGAGTAAGTTTGTAGGTTTGAATGCCACTCTAATTCCTGCTTTGTTGAAAATCCTACGTAGGATCTCACTTGTCCCCTCGTTATATGGTAAAGCTGTAGATGCCTTATATTCTTTCTTATTTATGGTATCACTATTAGTTTCCTCATTATTTTTATTTTGCTTTCGGCCTTTTCTGATCTTAATAATGAATTTTATAGGATAGTTAGTTATTTAACATCAACGCCTCTTCTATCTGTTTCATTTCATCATTTAGGTCTTTTTTTGGACTACTTAGTGTTATTGCTCGGTTTGTTAGACATTTAACTGAGCCTACCTTTACAGATAACGCATGAGGTGAATTAAAGTCTAAATGTCTATTAGAATGCGTTGGTTAATTAATTTATTTTTTTATTAATACATAACAACATAAGCATTTAAATCGAATATGCTTATACACCAATAACTATTTAAGTATCCAAAGAATAACTGCTGCCGTACAACTAACTACAAGAGTACTGGATACATGTTCTGAAATGTCACGTCTCGTCAAGTTAATTGACTTTTAGTCACACACCTAGGATTCGATTACATATATTGACTAAAGTATTTCACAAAACAGTAGGTTTCTAAACATTATGTGTAATTCCCTCACCTATATATGTATAACTTTCAACATTTCACATTTGTAATAGAATGCATCTTTTACTCTGGTGAATCTAACTACGTGTATTGAGAAAACAAACGTTAGAATTCCTTTCATTTTGATAAAACACTGGCTTTTTTGTAATCCTTCACGTTCCCAGTGGAACATAGGGCTTCAAGCTACAGGCTTGAAGTTTCAGTAGCAGTGGTGTTTATTTTTACGGGATAGGGTTGCTGGTCTCATGCCCAACCGACCCGACCCTCTTTACCAGTCTAATTTCTGTCTTAGAGAGGTGAAGTAGTGCGTCGGCCGGGGACCGAACCCCGAACCACCTACATGGTTGGCGAGCATTCTACCACTGTGCCATCGACGCACAAAACACTGATAGACATACTAATTGAGTTTCAGCAGAGGACTTTACACAGAAGTGGACCAGTTCAAGTTGCTGCACTTTATTATCATGCAGCACACAAACGTAGAGATAAAAGAGATTCGAAAGAACTATCATCGGCAAAAATGTACGGGAGAACGACTAGTAAGTAACATGGGAAAAAGACAACGGTTTATTAGGTGTGGAAGATTATAAACAGTGAATGCATCTGCACCACTGAGAACAGTTTCCAGTCGCATTACCAACAACCTCAAGCTATTGATTCTCAGCATCCCAAGGACTACCAAAGTGGCAGTCTACACCTGCTCTCATCTGGTGCAAACCAACTGTCAAAGACTTCACACACCGCTTCTAATTCTTTTCTAGACTAATCCTCATGACATCTAACATAGGTAGATGAGGAAGGTGGTGGCCTGGTGGTAAGCATAACACACGTGTTCCTACTTATGTTAATCAATTCACCTTTGCAACCTCATCTCCTTTGAATTATTCCCCATCACTGTCACTCTACGCCTAATTTCAATATTATTCACCGTAGTATACCACTTAACGCAGAAGATAGAACGAATAGTGATAAAAGGTCAACGAATAGGAACTGATGAAGCTGATAGTGACGTAAACGGAAGACTAACTTTACTTCAGTTTAATATTAAACTAAAAAAAGAGTCAATTTACTAGAAGATAACGTTACTTAGCGATTAAATTACTACCTATCTTCATTTCCTGTAAGTATATAATATCTTTGTCGGATTTTATTTCACAACATATTCAGGCAACAATTTGTCATCAAAGTGAGAAATTAAGCGAAGACAAAATAGTGAGTAGGAATTAGCCAAATAAAAAATTTAACCTATTAGGTAATACATCCATCCCCAAGCAAATTCTGAACCGCATCATCCTTAAGAGAATCAAACAAGCCCTGGATGAAAAACTTCGACCGGAACAAGATGGATTCAGGAGAAACAAGTCATGCATCGATCAAATCGCAACACTACGGATCATTATTTGAACAGAGCTTGGAATGGAAGTCAGCTCTCTAACTCAATTCATCGACCTTCGACATCGTCGATCGAGAGGTGATTTGGAAACTACTTCACTACTACAGGGTGACGCTAACAATTATACATCCCATCCAACAATTGTAAGAAATGCTGCATGCCAAGTAATCCACAATGGGGAACTCACGGAATCCTTCGAAGTGAAGACGGAATTGAGACAAGCTGGCTGCCTACTATCTCCAATGATTTTCTTGATTGCGGTAGACTGGATAATGCGACAGACAGCGGGCAACAAGGAGACAGGCATAAAATGGACCCACACAAAAATCTTAGAGGAACTGGATTTCGCCGATAATATATGTATGATTTCCCACAAACTGAAAGATATGCAAATTAAAAGCAACAAGTTGGCAGAAGAAGCATCAAAGATAGGACTTCAAGTGAACATAGAGAAAACAGAGGTGATGAAGATTCTTGGCCAACAGCAACAGCAACAACAATAACAGAAAACAATCAGCATAAATTGGAGAAATCTGAAAGAATAAACCTCCTTTACCTACCTAACCGGGAAGCATCGTTTCAACTACAGGTAGACGGAACTGATGAGGATATCAAAGTGAGGATCGGAAAAGCAAGACAAGCAAGCTTTCATTACTCTCAAGTCTGTGTGGAGATCAACAGCACTCAGTATGAAAAATAAGATCCGGATTCTCAACCACAATGTGAAGTCAGTGTCACTATACGGATCAGAGACTTGGCGCCGCGTCACAAAGGGTACTTCCAACAAACTACAGACCTTCATCAACAGTTGTCTTCGTATAGTACTGCTGAAGATCAGATGGCCGGCGAGAAAAGATCAGCAACAGGGATCTCTGGCAATGAGCGAACCAACCCAGCAGGAACCAATTGTGCAACAAATCTGCAGGAAGAAATGCAGGTGGATTGATTGGCCATACTCTGAGAACACAAACCATCAAGTGAGTGACATCACACGCCAGGCCATCGCTCGAGTGGAACCCGACAGAATGGGAAGCGGCGAGTTGGTCGTTAGTGCGAGAGTGGGGTGTCATGGAGGAGGCCATGCGAAGAGGAGATGAAAGCATGTGGGCAGACGTGGAGACAGGTGAAAAGGTTAGTGGAGAACCGAACGCAATGGGAACGTGCGACTAAAGCCCGATGTTCCTCTAGGAACTAAAGGAAATAATAGTAATAAATAAGGTAAAACAATCAAAACCAAAAGGAGGAGGAGAGAATTTCACTTGACACTACGATATACGACCCCGACGTTCAATGGCCACATTTCACACTTCGATTGTAGCATTTATTCAACACTAACTATTAACAGGATACATTATGTTAATTACTATTAATATACAATAATTATATATACCTGTCGATCATAGATTTTTTCTTCAATTGTTCCTTGGGCAATCAGACGATAAATATACACTGGTTTATGCTGACCAAAACGATAACTTCTAAATATCGATTGTATATCATGACTTGGATTCCATGATGCATCGAGTAGGACAAGACGATTTGCAGCGATTAAATTAATACCCAAACCACCAGCTTTAGTTGATATAATAAACAATCGTAGACGTGTATTACTTGTTGAATTGAAACGTGCCTGTAAATCTTTGCGTACATTCACATTCATACTACCATCCATACGTTCATAATCTAAACCACGTATCCATGTATTATGTCCGATATCAGAGAAATATGATGATAAATCTGGACGATTTAATGTATCAGCATTTTCTGCATTTTCTACATTCTCTTCCGTTTTCTGGTCTGAAGACTGGTTCTAGAGAGAGAGAAAAGAAAAAAAATGATAAACATAAAATCCAGGAAGAAAATACTAGGTAATAGTAGTAGTAGTAGTAGTAGTGTAATGGCAGAAGGCAAGACACAGAAACCAAGGTATAATTGCAAGTGATCAAACTGATATATATATATATATATACATAGACCGCGAAGTAATTTGGAAACTACTCGAGTACTACGGCGTACCCCAAATATTCATCAACCTTATTCAACAGCTATACGACAACGGCACATGTCAAGTGATCCACAACGGAAAACTCAGCGAGGCGTTTGGAGTAAACACAGGAGTCAGACAAGGGTGCTTATTATCACCAATAATATTCCTAATTGTGGTGGACTGGATTATGCGTCAGACAGTGGGAAACGAGAAGACAGGGATATCCTGGACCGACGTGAAGAACCTAGAAGACCTGGATTTCGCGGATGATTTATGTTTGATGTCACACAAAATCGAAGACTTACAAGCGAAAACCGACAAACTGGTCGAAGAAGCAGCAAAGACAGGACTCCAGGTGAACATAGACAAGACGGAGGTTATGAAAATAACCAACCAACAACAACAACAACAGCAACATCCACCGCCAATCACCATCAACGGGAGGGATTTGAAAGAGGTTACTTCATTCACTTATCTAGGGAGCATTGTCTCAACTACAGGAGGAACAGACGAGGATGTCAAATCGAGAATCGGGAAGGCAAGAAACACATTCATCAACCTGAAACCAATCTGGAAATCTTCGTCACTCAGCATCAACAACAAAGATTCGGATTTTCAATACAAACGTCAAGTCAGTCAGTTCTTCTATACGGATCAGAAACTTGGCGGGTCACAAAGAATATTTCCAACAGCCTGTTGCAGACCTTTATCAACAACTGTCTTCGCTCTATACTGAAGATCAGATGGCCGGAAAGAATCACCAACAAGAAACTATGGGAACAAACAAAACAAGAACCAATCGTCCAACAAATATGCAGGAGAAAGTGGAGATGAATTGGACACTCGCTGAGGAGGCCGTTGGGTGACATCGCGCGTCAGGCCAACGCTCGAGTGGAACCCGAAAGGGAAGTGGCGAGTGGGACGTCCAAGGGTGACATGGAGGAGATCGTGTGAAGAGGAGCTGAAACAGTATGGACTAACATGGATGCAAGTGAAAAGTACAGCAGAAGACAGAAACAAGTGGAGACGTGCAGTTGAAGCCCTATGTTCCACTAGGAACCCAAGGGAACAATAATAATTAATATACAGTTTTATATTCTCTAACCAACAATTGAGGGTGTCATTTTGGCTCACATTAAACTACATGAAATAGAATGTCCAAATAGATACATCGTATTCTGTTACTAATGCTGTATTGAACTGTGGGAATATGTGAGAATAATATTCCGTCGGAACACATCGTCTTTATCACACTACCGCAGTGGTAGAAGGAAATGCATGACAGCATTTATATGCCAACCCATTCATACTCATGTAATAAGGGCAATGACCCATAGTGCGTTTCAGGGTTGAAGACATCAATGAGTTCCCCTAACCCCATTCCCAGATATAATATCACTGAATAACAGTCAATATTCACAGTATCTATTTGCTACTATTATTGCAGCTTCATTGACAATAACAAATCAAAATACATAAACCTTTGTTATACTTTCAAAAATTTACATAAATGTATCAAAAGACTATAAAAGACATTCAACGGTCCTAAATTTATTGATATTATTAACTACACTATTTATATAAAAAAGGCGGGAAAATAGTTCAATGAAAGATAATTTAGTCAACGTTACATGGAATATACATTTCGCTTCACTATCGCGTTTGTGATTAATTATCACTCTTTTTTCATAATCAAGTATTGGAACATTGGGTGCTGGTTTCGAGTCACAGTGGGAACATCATCACTCACTCAGTCTTGCTGAGGATTGTGATTGTAGGTACATCCAACTCACAAGTCCCAAATAGGATGAAACGCACATTTTGGACTCTAACAAGCAACATCATTTCAATCCCCAGACATTGTCAGACTTTGAGTAATAGAAGCCGATATGTTTCAAATTTGATCACTGATTGATATCAGTTAGAGAACCATTGGAAACCAGCAGAGAGTACTGAACAGTTGTTTCTTCCTAGTTCGGGACTCTTCGGCAGTAAGCACCCGCCAGGGTTCGGACCCATGGTTACAAGGTGAACAACTTGTAGGAAATTCAGCCACTGAGACCTGATCCAATAACCCATAACATCCAGCTTCTGTCAATTCAAGGTATGGTGCGACCAGTAGCCAATGTCATTGCAAAGGACCCCACTGGTCACGACTTCTCACTAGAACTCCCGATATGTTTACACAATAGGGACTACAAAATCCATCGCAAACAAACAATCAAGAAGACTGATACAGTCTCAATTAAATATATTATCTATCCTTGTTGAACTTCTTGGTTTTCCAACAATCTCTTTTCCTCTCTCTCTTTTCGCTTTCACAATCACAGTGAAATGATGACCACCTATCATCTACACATTACGAAGAAGGCTGCTGTGACTATATATGTGTGTATGTATGTTGAAATATTGTCAATAGAGGTTACCCACCACCATCAAATAAGAAATCGACAAAATAGATTAAAATATCTTACCTGAAGAACTGACCATTGACGACTAATTTCAGCTAGAAACTTTTCAATTAAATCTAATGATATTAAACTATGCGAAAACAGGATCACTTTATCACCGATATCTGAACAACGTTTCAATATATTGAAGAGAACATCCATTTTAGCGCCTACATTAATTTGCCAGTCATATTCATCTTTATAAAATTGATACCACCAGGGTTTTTGAGATCCATCAATGTCTGTAACACTGTCAGAATCATCATCGTCATCATCATCATCATCATCATCGTTACTGTCTGAATCAAGGATAACTGTTGTTGGATTTTTTGCTTCTTGACGAGTTAAAGGACGACGAAGACGACGTCGACGTCGACTAAGTGATTTTTTATTAACTGTACTGTTGTTGTTGTTCTCTTTGGTCTTTTGGTCAACATCATCATCACCATTTTCATCGATTTTAGTCTTTTTCTTTCCAACAATGTCGTCAGCATCAGCAACACCATCATCATCGTCGTCGTCGTCTTCACTAGTATCTGAAGGAGCTGAATTACTTGAAGTAGAAGAAGATTCTAATGAGTTCGCGGAATCATCAATAAAACTATCCTCACTCATTAGAAGCATCTTTTGTTTATTATGGAAAAGGAAAATGGAAAAATATAAAGAAACAGTTTAAATTAGGCGATAAAGTTTTCACACATGTAATATAATAATCATTGTTTGTAGAATTCAAAATAATTAGGACGGAAATATGCGAAGATATGTGTGGCTCACATTACCCTAAACACTAAGCACGCTCGCTCATTCAATATTAATGATCTTTGCCTCAGCTCCAATCGCGGTTTATGTTCATTCTGTTGAATATTTACAATTATTCTTCTATCAGTAAGAATTACAGGTTTGGTCAAGAGTTGATATCAGTTAGAGAACCCACTGGAAAATCAGGCAGTACTGGAGAGCCATTTTGTCCCAGTCCGGGACTCCTCATCAGTACGTAACTGCCGGAGTTTGAGCCCACGACCTTCTGGTCACATGGTAAACTCGTAAACCATTCAGCCACTGGGAACCGATTACAATGGCTCATCATCAATTCTAACTTCAATCAATTCACAATATAAGGCACTACAGTCATCCTGTGTAATCTGTGCCTGTCCTCATAGGCCGTTGATTCAGGTCCCAGAAGCTAGCTGGTCTAACAGCTCACCTTGTAACCAGAAGGTCCTGGGTTTGAACCCCAGTGGGTCGTGTGTGAGTACTGATGAAGAGTCCCAAATAAAAGGCGAAGCAGCTGTCCACCAGCACTCCGTGGTTTCGCAATGGTTCTCTATCCGATGGTCACCTCATGATTAAACCTGTAACCAATCTAATCCCTGCTATTGAATGAGTGAAAAAAGAACTATATTGGCTATGCTAATAAGTATCGATAGAACAAAAGATGAGTCTCACAAGAATTTCTATAGGCGTGTGCTACATGGAGTGTGGCGACTTGAACTGCCACACATATGTGCAAACATGAATATAAAAGTAGGGATAACGAAAATAAACATCACATGAATACGGTTCTCATCAACAAGTCGAAACTCTATAGCACACAGCTGTGCAAAAGTGTTTAGAAATTCATGAAGTCAAATACATCCTCAATCACTGAAATAAACTCATGTAATTTAATTGCAGAATGGAGAGAACCAAACTTGCGCAAGTCATGTGTATTCATAATTTTTCAAGAATTCATAATAAACTCAGACAAACTAATTATATGAGTTAAAATCTTTAGAAGAATCGAATCACTGTCTTGCTAGATGTGCTCTAATTGTTTACGAATGTCCCATTATTAACTGAAACACTATGCTATATATGCGAACATATTGATTCAAAGGGGTTAAACATTGGGATACCTGATGATTATTTGGAGAACGCTTGTTGAGATGAACCTTAAATGTGTTCAATTCTCTTTCAGTATTGAAATATGTAGAGAAAATGATGGTATAGCTATGGGCTTGCAGATTTCTTCATGTCGAAACTCAAATACACATACTTGAAGAAAATGACTGACACCTGTGGATTTTACATGAGATACATGGATGATACTGCATATCTTCAATAATCAATAGAATTTGAAGGACATTCTGGATTTTTTCAAAAGATTCAAAAATACGTTTTCTGGACGTTCAACTAACAAGAGGCGAACAAGATGGAACACGGAAAAGATCCATCCACAGAAAGCTGAAGTGGAATAGACAACTCACAAACAAATATAGTTGGGTGTCTTCATATACAAAACTAAACCTAATCCGTTTATTGAGCCACCGAATCAGTAATATTTGCAGCCCTGACATTATGGAAAAGGAACTGAACACTCTAAAAACGATTTTCATTGAAAATACCCGCCCGGAACGCTTCATCACAAAATCCATAAAACCTACACCACTAAAAATACTACCTGCGCTTTCTGCCTCCAAAGACTGTTTTATCTGAATCTACAATTCAAATGAAGACTCATCGGTAGAAATATTGGGAAACTGTCTATCCCGATCAGTGAAGAAAAAATTCTTTGCGGATGAACTTCGACTAACTTTCTCTACAAAACCAATGATTCGCGTGGACGTGAAAGATAAACTACCAATGCTAGCTTCGTCACTGTGTATCCATCAGTTCAGCTGCTCCTGTGGAGTTAGATACGTCGAGTGTACCCAGCGTTCGCTATCCAAACGCATCATCCAACATTTACACTCATGGCTCTATTCTAGAATACCTGATCGACTCCAGACACCAAGCGAACCTAGTAACCAACTTCAAAGTCATCTACAGAATACGTAGAAATTTTGGTAAAGGAGAACGAACCAAACTTCTTCAAACCACAGAAGCGATGGCAATCTGCATGTTAAACTCCAAACTCCACACACAGAAGTTTGTTTAGTCATTGAACCTACAATGGAGCTCACCTATCTTAACCCTGGATACGCAATTTTTTGTTTTTCAATTATGGTATTTTTCTTCTCTCCCCCCCCCCACCATTACATTTCTACTCCTCTCTGTCTGTCTGTCTGGATTAAACATAGAACTCGGCACCGAAGTGCAGCAGTTCGAGTTGCCACGTTCCAAATAGCACACAAAGGTAAACAAGAAGATGAGTGAAGAGAATCAATAGAGTTTTGACAAGTATAAGAATGAAACAGAATGAGTAATGGTAGAAAGGAATATGAAGGTTAAAGGGACTGAATACATCTGCGTAAGCCATTGACAACGATTCTGAGCCATGTCACCTATTGTCTGTCTCCAGCCATTGATTCTTAGAGTCCCGAGGGCCCCAACACGGAAGTCTGCATCTCCCTACCTGACTCAGTTTAACTGTCAAGGATTTCATGGATTGATGAGGCCATGGTTTTGTTTGGCCTGCACCTATATCAGCTAGTAATGTCCGTCGGGGAAGGCGATGGTTAGGCAAGCACAGCACGTGACCTAGCCATCTCAATCTATGTAACTTTATAGCCTCGTCGACTGATTTTCCC